TCTTTTCTATAATGGCAGTCATAAACCAAAAATACAAGTAGATGATCACTAATATCATTTATAAGTAATCCACGTGTCATTTTGCTGTCAATATCATTGGTAAATATATTATCTATTAGTGTCGCATGCTGGTGTCGCACACTTTTATTAAAATCTTTTGAATTCTGTGCTCAAAGTGACAGATTTTCTAAGGGTATCATTGATATTCTAATGTTAGTTTTCAACTGAATGCATTTCTAGAAACATTAGCAGAGCACAAGATGCAGGCCAGTGAGGGCAGAGTGATATAATATGCTGTGTTTGCAGTTATGAAACACTAAGTAAATGTTTGTCTGCAAACCACCGCAGCAACCTGAAGGCAGTCAGGCTGTTTTTCCCTTGAGCCTGGTGTCAACCAGTATGTGAAACACATTGCATAAGAAGCCAAAACCAAATTCAGCAGATTGAAATTTTAGAGAGTCTGCCGTGTCTGTACACAGGCAACAGCGCAGTTCATTCCAAGCAATATTAAGCATGTCTTAAGATTGCGTGGGTGCACGTCTTTCTCCAATCCCCAACTCAATGTGCACCTCCACTGCAGAGCTGGAGAGGAGATTTAAAGCCACAGGGTACAGTCCAACTGGAGCTGCCTTTATTTACTTGCTAGATTAATTTCTTCATATTGAAAGTAATTTATCACAGAGGTACAGTATAGTGAGAAAACACAATACTGTGCAAAAAGTACATAGAAAACAAAGACAAAGGTCTGCATCTTAATACCCACAAGTGTCTGTATGAAAGTTACTGGCCCCACACTGGTGACTCAAGCACTTGTTGCCATGGCCGAGCTGAATTCACATACTTAAATGAGGGATATCGACATGAAGTGTGTGAGTCACCAAATTGCAGCCTTTTTCAAATGGTGCTGTAGATGTTCCTTTTCCTCTGCTAAGCTCAATTGCCTCCATTCTGCTGGTTCTAAATGTCAGTGGTCGACAGCGGAAACTCTTTTATATTACTTTATACTCAAATACCCTTTATACAGTCTTGCAAAGAATCAACGCATAGACATCATTCTGCATCATGTACAGTAGCACATCACCATATGTCTATCTTCCCTTGTTTTTTAGTCAAATTTATAGAAGTAAGCAGAAGCTACTCAGGATGTGTACCACTGGGAAATAACCCAGTGTTCAAGTTCACACTTCACAAGAGCTGGCTCAAAGTTCATTTTACACACATTAAAATGAATTTTAAACTAAGTTTACATTTCCAAAAATAAATTCAGCTTATTTCTTCCAATTTAATTTTTTTGACAAGTTGCTTTGAGCAGTAGAAAGCAATTTTTCCAGTAGAACTGGCTCCTGCCCATCTATTCCCACTGCCCAGTGCCTGCATTGCCTGAATTGCTACTTAACTGGCCATAAGCAACATTGTTTACAGTGCACCACAGTTTTCTTTTTCTTTCACATGTGAAATAAAATAATAGGTCTCAGGTACTTTGCCTATTGCTTTACAATGACACGAAGAAGGGAAAGAAGGAAACTTTGCTAATACAGGTTTGAAGTAGCCAATAGACGCTTTCTATTAAAAGATTAATTCATCTGGGCAGTGATTTCTGCTATAGAGGCTGTTTGATGTGAAGTGTAGTGTTAATAAGATACAATGGAGCTGACGTGGACAAACAATCCTAGAATTTGCAGTGGAAACTTGCAGAGGGAGCTTGTTTTAGCACATTGGTGTTAAGAGTCATTCTCCATATTGAATAAAACCATTCAATTTATCACCCTGCACATTAACAAAGCTCACATTCATGTTACATTGTTGCAAAATGATTCATTTGATTCACCATTCTCAGAAAAATTAGCACATTCAATGAGTGCGTTCACACACAACACTGCATAGGTACACACTGTTTCTGCTCCCCTGTTATGACATTTTTCTTTGGAAATGCTGACTAATTCTTGGTGCATGGATATCTGTAGGAGCTGTGCGGGCTTAGAGAGAGCAGAGCCAATAAATGCTGCAGGGAGACATCAGCCGACTTTACAGCAATAGCCTCTCTGCTTCTGTTTGGTCTTTGCTTGAGCAATATGCTACTTCTGTCTGTTGGGGTTTTGGTTTTAACTACATTTGCTCCCAAGGCATTTCTTCCAGGTTTCATTCTCTCTTAAACAATTTACATTCGAAAGAGTTTTCATGACTGTACAGAGGTAAAAATTGTTAGATTGAATTTTTTTTTATTTTTGCATGCAGCTGCATGTAACAAATCCAACCATTTGATACAACGATGAGGCACTGAATGTCCCTTTATGCAACGTGCTTGGTCACATGTAGTAGGATGACACTAACTGACATCATACAGTACCTAACCTGAGCTTGCATTCTGTGTAAAGCACCTGCTGCAATGCATGCTGGTCTTTCTCCAACTTGTCCTGTAGCCCTTCACCCTTATATTAAAAGATGATATTCTGGACAGTGGCTGTAACATAAGATTGTGAAAATCAAGAGCTTTTGCCAAAAGTCTGGGATAATTAATGTTGTTGGCCCGAAATTTATATCAGTTTTTGTCTGTCTTTCACTCCACCTCTGGACCACTCTTCATCCCAATTCTGCTCTACAGCCAGAAGTTGAGCTTCAAGGAACGGGTGAGAATGGCAAGCCCTCGAGGTCAGAGCATAAAGAGCAGGCAGACATCTTCAGTGAATGATCGGCGGTCACCGGTGGCTGAGGCTGGAACAGAGGGCACCAGCCCCGCCAAGGTGCAGAAGAGCTGGAGCTTCAATGACCGCACACGCTTCAGACCTTCACTCCGCCTTAAGAGTCAGTCCCGCTCCACTACTGATGGTGAGTGGCCTACTTTTGTATTGTACCACATAATTAGATGAAAACATTTTTGATATAACTGTGAATTGCAACAAATCACAGATCTCACATGCTCAACAGGTAAAATTATTTGGAAGGAACATTTTTGAAAAAAAAAAAAAAGCACATTCACCTTCTTGTTGAGAGTTAAAGGATAAGAGCAATGTCTGCCAAAGTCTGTCTATTCAGTATGGAGCCATAACCAAAACATGGTTAGCTTAGCTAAACTGGAAGCAGGGGGAAACAGCTTGCCTGGCTCTGACTAAAGATTTTTTTAAAATCCACCTTAGCACATCTGAAGTTTACTAATGAATTGCTCATATGTTTAAAGTGTAAAAAAAAAACAAAAACAAAAAAACAGCCAGGCTAGCTGTTTCCCCTGCTTCCAGACATTCTGCTAGCTAAGTTAGCTCTTCCCTGACAGTCACCTTGGATTTAATAAAAATGAAAAGCACTGATCAAACTCCTGCAAGAAAGCAAATGTTTTTCCTAAAATCTATTATTTAAAGTTCAAGCATGTGATATGTGAATCCCCACTTTCACTACATGTGTTTGTTTAAGGCATATTGTGTGACCATTCAACCCACCAGAAATGGTTTAGCCTACTAATTCAGGCAGCCAAATGGAGGGAATGCTAATGGTTGCACGTGCTCCCTTCCTTTGGCCTAACAGTGCCAGCCTGGCAAGCCCCCCTGGGTAACAGCCAGTTGGTGTTTGTGGGTGGGCTGATGGATTGATGGAAGGTGGGGGTGTTAAGTTTCAACAGCCATATGGGCTGTCAGAGCCGGCCAGCTGGCTGAGGCCCGCTGGTGGAGAGGAACCAATAGCCAAACTAGCCAAAACCAAATTGGTTGGCTGGTTAGCCACGCTCTGTCAGGGCGCTCACTGTCACTGACATGTTGGCAAAATGAAATGTTATTGGATGGGAAATATTCCCTTTCATTATGGCTTTATTAGGAGTGGAATAAGTGGAAAACTTCTATGTTATGTTTAACAGGGCAAATCATTAATTGGCACTGTTTTGCATTTTCAACAGATAATAACCTGTTCCAGTCTAATCGGTTGGTTTGATTTAGTGTAACACACACACATACAGATCCTACATGCTGTGCACTTGATGCTTATCCAAGGCCATTTTTGGTTAAACAGGATAAATAATTCAACACTGCAGTCCAGCTCTTGTACTAGCCTCCAACCCTCTCCCTACCTCCTCAGGCTGGTGTAACTGAGCTTTACTCTCACAAAGTTGTATTGCTGCAGGAACCTGTTCTTTACGGCTAGTCTTCTGTTTCAGGCAGCAGCTCAAAACACAGTTTTTTCTCTTTCACTCTATCTGATCAGTCTGTCTGTCCCTTCCACTCTCACTTCAGTTCACTTGGTTCCATTCAAATTTAGTCCCTGTGTTTGCATGCACTGTTGTAACCTGATTAATTCACACTATTGTAATAATCTGATGATAATAAAGATCCATGTAAACTCAAAACTTGGTTTGCTTTTATTTTACAAAATTAGGAATAAGCCAGTCAGTGTAGCTAGAGTTCAGCTGTAAGACACTGGTTTCTTCAAGCTGCACTAATTTATAATTTATATTAACAATGGATCAATTGAAAGGGGCTGTTAATGAAGTCATAGAGAATTATCTTTCAACTTTTCTCCCTTTCCACTCAGCTCTGTAAAGTATTTGATTGTCTTGTGAGCTTTACCCAGGCGCATAAAACAAGCTAAGCGTTCCAGTAGGTGACAGCCATTGACTATATATAAATATGGAAGCCATGACAGCTCCAAGAAGTGAACCGACCACGACTCGATCATCCCCTGGTGGCTGGTTGCAGTATAGGTCATAAATCCCGCCCCCTCCATGTTAGCAGATGGAACAATGAGCTGAACTAATATTTGAACATGAGCTCAAAGTACAAACCATATAAATTTTTCCCAGATGTGATCTCTGTGCTTTGAAAATGGTCAGTTATAAGCTATTTGATGATATAAAAAGTGACGTATTTTGGATGATTTGACAGCTTTGATTGGTGTCACTCAACTCCTTGGTTGCTACTGAGCAGAACCTGATTGCAAAATGCCAAGATGGCAGCTGCCATATCTGTGATATTTTGACTCCACTTTTGCATAGTGGAGGGAAGCGGTGATACATATTTATATAGTCAGTGATGGACACAAACACAACTTCAAGTCAGTGCTAAAGTTGCTTCATGTTCACTGCTTGTGAAATGAGGCAACTGTTTGCTAACACTCCTTTTGGCAATAATTGCTTGCATTACTGAAATGTTGCTATGGCTGGGATTTGCAAGTGAAACATTGATCAGGAGAGTAAAAAAAACTGACCTTCTACAACTGTGCAAGGAAGGCTGATGGTGATACATTTTGGAGGTGTGTAAGAGGAATTTAATCACTGCCTGCATGTAAAATGGAGTTTTAAAGTATTAAGACTATTAAGTCCCTGCCTCAGAGCAATCTGTTTCTTGCATTCATGTTTACTTTTCTGTTTCGCCTCTTCCGAGCAGCAGACTCCAACTTGGCAGGGGAGGATGGCTTTGATGAGAAGGGCTGTCATTGCGAGATTTCAGTGGAAGACTTGCTGCCCTCGGTCAAGTCTGTCATTAGAGCTGTCAGGTGAGGCAAAGGAAATGAGACTTCCTCTATCAATCCAACTAATACTGTGTTTACTGTGCCAAGGTTGCATACAAACAAGTCCCAGTTGCCATTCAGTAGCTCTGCTGATTGAACTGGCTCAGAGGATTAAAAAAACCAGAAGACTCGTTTTTTAAGGTTATTTTTAGATCATCAGGGGTACATGTGATTGGATACAGTGTTGAGAAGCAGGAAATATAGTTGGTGGTAGTATTAACACCGCAAAGCTTTGTAAGGTGATCATGCCACAAGGACACACTAAACTGTGATGTGTCCTTAAAGAAAGGAAACCTGTCAAGTGCCGTTTTAAATACATGTAAATAATGGTTCAAATCTAAACAAAAAAAATTGGATTTAAAGTCAATTTAATTTGTAATTGTTTTGCTCTACCATGGCAAAAATATCTGACTTCCCTGTATATATGTGAAGTGATGCTTGTAAAAAGTTTAAGGTGTTCTTTTTTTTGGACTCCACAAGACAGTTGTGAGTAGGAACAGAAGAAAAGGACATTTTTGAAATGTTTCCATTAATACTATGACTGGAGCTGGCTTCAATCCTCCACTTTATTTGCTAAGTAGTAGCCTCTGCCTGCATGGATTTTAATTCATTTATTTGCATTCAAAATATATTTACTGGATGACATATTCTACAAAGTAGCTTAACTCTGCTGCATGATCATAGGGTCCCAATTAAACATAGTGATATAATGTGTAATCACTGATTAAATATAGATTGTAGATTTGTTAATAACTTTTATAACAAAGTATTTAAAAAAATACTTTGGGTTAGAGGGTCAGTTTAAAAAAATTACAATTTATCACTTAGTTTTGGAAAAACTGTTTGTTTGTCTTTCGGTCACTTTAACTTTAGCTCAAAGTAACAGTTCCACAGTGGAAAAATACTTCATATTACAAGACGTTTATGTGAGTGAAAAAAGTTAGACAAGTTAAAAAATATTATCAACTAATTGTAACTACTTTATATATTGGTTTACAGTTTAGTCTATGGCATTGCTGTGTATTTTAACATAACTAACCTTAGGTCATGAATAAAAATCGGTATCCTATCCAGCACAAAAATATACCAGATATACTACAATAGGTTCAGAGATGCTGGAATAGTGGAGTGCTGTTCTGCATCAGAAATCTCAGAAGCTTTATTTGAGCTAAAGAACTGAAACCAGCCCACAGCTTGATTGGCTGTAAAAGATGATGGTTGCACACTAACACTATCTGCCCTGCACTTGTTTTGTTACTGTCCATCCTTGTCAGTTCCATCCTCTTTCCACTTGAGGACTCAGACTCACACACTCCCCTGAATTCAGCCTTGAGGCTAACTAACAGAGAGCTTGTTTTTCAGTGAGACAACGCACATACACAGACACCCACACACACACGCACACACACACAGACACACACAGAGCTGAAATAAGCAGCCACGACCTCGCCAGCCATGGGTATAAGGTCCAGTGAAGTGATTTATTGTGTATGAATTGTTGTGAAGAGACAGGTAGTTGGCATGCAATGATATTTTGAGCTTTAAAAACAGGAAAAATGAAGGGAAGGTTTGATTTGTTTTCATTAGCTTCAGTCTGTGTGACACCTCAGATTGATGGAGTCACTGCAGGTCATTTGTAGTGACTGTATCAGAGCTCCCCCTTGGGGCCCATGTGTGAATTTCCCTGCTGTTTGTGCAGGATAATGAAGTTCCATGTAGCCAAGAAGAAGTTTAAGGAGACGCTGCGTCCATATGATGTGAAGGATGTGATTGAACAGTACTCTGCCGGTCACTTGGACATGTTGTGTCGCATCAAGAGCCTGCAGACCAGGTAGGAATAATGACAGGCAACACATACTGCATGAACACATCATCTGCTGACAGTTTTCATTACTGTAGTCTTTAACGTTTAACCACACTGTAACTCATTCATCTGTCTTTGTATGTGTGTGCGTGCGTTTATGCATGTGTGTGTGCACCTGCACTCATGTCTTATACATGCATGGGTATACTGTATGTGTATTGTGCTTATGTATGTGCATTTGTTCTTTTGCATTTTGTATGTATGTCTATGTATATGTGTGCATATGTTTGCTTCCCTCACAGGCTGGACATGATTGTAGGCCCACAGCCCCTGAACCACAGAGCCAAGACCTTTTCCACTCCCTCCCTGCCTGTCTATTACAGCCAGGGCAGAAAGAACTCCACCCAGGGGTCAGAATATGCCCCCACATCCTTCATATGTCACATGGGTTCAGTTCACTAAACTCAGTCAATTCAGGAGGTGGTTCGTCCTCAAGAATATGAAAACTGAAATTATACGATAACATTTAAGCTTCTTTGAATTGATTGAGGTAAAACTGAAATGATCCCAATCTTATTTCACTAAACTCTTCTGTCCCAGTTGCGAAGTTATTCACTAACCACTAATACTAGCAAAACACTACAGTATATTCATTTTGGTTTTGCCATTTAGTTCAGGTGGAGCACGACTGTGAATTGCTGTTGTACTACTGACCCCTGCTGTTGTAGAGTGGTAACTGCAACTGCTGCATGCAATTGATGCTGTGTATTATGCGGTTGGAGCTGACCAGACTATACAGAGGACTGAAAGGTCCACCTACTTGCTTTTTCCAGTAGCCTACTGCTTTCAACCACAGCTCACCGTCTTCATCCACAGTTGTCATGATGATGACTTCACACACAGGTCTTCGCATGACCAGAGCGACAATACCAGTTAACACATGTATACTGTGGCAGAGATTGTAACGTCTGCCTTCGCCATGACAAGTAAGCAATCTCCATCCACTTAGCAAGACTGTGAGATCCAGTGGAAGGCGTCCTTTGAGTTAAGATGGCCACTTTTTTAAAGTCAAGAATAAACACTGACACAACTCTATCAGTTGCTGTCTCTAATAATTATTTGATGGCTACATTAAAATACATTGGACAGTAGGTGTGTTTCCATCCATCCCTTTTTGTTGATTTGCTCATTAAAAAAGACACTGGAATATTTAAAGAAAGTTGAAATATTGCCATATTTCATGTTGTCTTATGGTGGCACCTGACTGGGGAACCACCAACTGTCTATCTTGATGTGTCCAACTCCTAATATTCACATAATAGCAGTGGATAGAAATGCACATCAGTTCATATTTTCTTTTGCTGAATTTTAGGAAATTCATTTCAATTTTCTGCTACAATGGCAGTTTGCATAGTTGTGACAAAAAAAATCTAACTGCTCAGTTAAAACATCTTTTGTGACATTATATTTGCTGTGGCCATATCAGTTAGAATCATCTTTAATGGCCAAGTATGTATGAACTTACAAGGAATTTTACTCAGGTGCAGAGACTCTCAATGTGTTTGTAGGCAAGAGGAAATAGAAAGTAGCAATGAAAATAAGAATAAAAAATTTAAACAAGACAATAAAAAATAAACAATGTGTGCATTCAAATAGGAAATATGTCAATGAAAATAGGAAGAATAAGGGGAAAAGAGTATTTATAAATATATGTATAAATATATATTCATTATGGTAAAAGAGCTTCTTCTACCATAACCAAGTAGCAAAACGGACACTCAAAAGGTAAAACACACTTTTAGATGCTGATTTGATGTTGGAGAATCTTGTCAAAGCTTTATCATTTATTTCTCCACAATGTTCATGGCCTCAGTATTGCATGACGTTGCCTTGGCTTATCCTGCCCTCTGCTGAATTCAACCCTGTACTGTACATCCACTGACCACATTCTTCTGAACCTCACTGGACTGAGCAGCACTAGTGTTTATGTAAGGGATGAGTGACACAAAGAAACTGAATTTGAGTGAGGTGCTTTGAAAACAAAAGTTAATCTCCTGTTAACTGAATCACAGCAAACACATTTAATAACGTCATCCTCAAATGGCTGGTAATGTCTCATCCAGCATGCAGTATCTGTCAAATCCAGTGAGGAAGTATAACCTCTCATTTGTTGGGGAAAAAAAAGGTGCTTTTTCTGTTACCGTTTCGATCTTCCTCCTTTCTTGTGGGCTGCCTCATGGACTTACATTTTAATTACTCTTTTTCTTCCTGTCATTAATGTCTTATTGTGTTTGCATGTGGTCATGTATGTGTTTTCGTATGTTTGTGTGTGTGTGTGTGTTCCAGAGTGGATCAAATCCTCGGGAAGGGCCAGATCCCTCTAGACAAAAAGATTCGAGAGAAGCTGCTGTCTGATGGAGATATATTAGAGGACATGAGCATGCTGGGTCGTGTTTGTAAGGTGGAGCGTCAGGTCTGTGTTCTTCTTTTAGGTTTTATTCCTGTATGGTGGAATAAATAATTGGTCATTTCTATTTCCCCGTGTGACGCAACCATTACTGCCAATACTGCCATTACATAAATGTACACATGACACTCTATATTGTAGTGCAGTAGTTTGTAACTGACCACCATAATTAAGACAAATAAGCCAGTAAACAAATTAGATTCAACATGTTAATTTATGCGCTTTAGAGGTGTTTGTCTTCTCAGCAGTATAAATGCCTTTCAGGAGAGATGTGAAAATGTGTGCCTTTATCCTCGCATTTAAATAGTATCAGTTCCACTACAACAACACCTGTTATGCCACCAGAGTAATTTGAAAGATGTTAAAGTAACTACATGTTGTGGCTTTAAACTACCTTATTTCCCACTGAGTTTCTTCCTACACTCACATTCTGTCTTTATCTCCTCACAGGTCCAGTCGATTGAGTCAAAACTTGACTCCCTGCTCGACATCTATCGACAGGTTTTGCGTAAGGGCTCATCTTCAGCCCTAACCCTCGCCTCTCTCCCCCTGTTTGAGCTGGAACAGACCTCTGACTACCACTCCTCTGTCTTCACCAAGGACTTGTCCTGCTCCACCCAGGTCAGCAGCAGTGGAGTGCCTCCACCTGGTGGTGGCTTCACACGCTCTACCAGCCTTTCCCAGGGTGGACTACATCTCAACCTCAATCTCAATGCCTCCTCCTCCACACCTCCCTCTGGCCTCGCATCCTCCTCTTTCAGCCCGTCAGTGCTGCCTCATCACCACCACCAATATTATCATGCTCATCATCCCCACTATCATCATATTCAAGCTCAGGCCACCACACCTGAGAGTGGCACAGATGAGGCAGTAGGGAGCTCTCCACCCATCCTCACCCCAAATAGTATCAGCAGTGGAGTTGTAGGAGATGGAGGGTTTCCTCTTCTGGCGAGACTTCCACCACCGCCCCCTCCCAACCGAAGCACTGGCTCAAGCAACTTGGTGCGACAGACCTCCACAGAAGTATCGCCAGACATGGAAGACTTCTGTAGAGGTCTAGGGACACAGATGGAGGACAACAGTGTCAGGAAGGACCTTGACCTTGGGATGGGGCTAGACAGTCTGGGGCAGCAGCTAAAGGGTAGCACCAACAGCAATGGCAGGCTAAACCCTAAAGAGGAGGGCTCCTGGAGGAGGCATATGAGCCTGGAGCTGGAGCCCCTGGTGCCGCCTGAGCTTGGTTGTTGCTCTGGTCCCAGCCCGATGGACCGAGGCTTGGGCAAGTCCATGTCAGTGCAGGACCTGATGCAGGTAGCTCCGGGGACTGTCCAGGACCCCCACCATAGCTACAGCTTGTCATCTCCAAGTCCCAGTACTAGCAGTGACTCTCCTACTGGTTTCCACAGCTGTAACCAAGACCCTGGGGGAGGAGTAGGAGGTGGTAGTGTGGGTAGGAGTGCTAGAGAAGGATGGGCTGAGGAGGACCTCTGTATCAGTGACAGAGACATAGAAGCACAGAGATTTGACTTCCTGTCACAGGGGACTGCTGAGGTCCCGTCCTACTCTTTGGAGCTGCTGAGGACAGAGGGCAGAGCAGGGGAAGGGTCTCGGGGCTCGAACCGTAGCCTGGCCAGTAGTCACGCATCCTCGCCCTGCATTGGCAGCACTGAACTGCTGAATATGCCACATGTACGACTAAAATAGAAGCAGCTACAGGTTCAGAAGGCACAAAACTCCCGCCTCTGAGACGCTTTATCCTTTTTTGAAGGAAACAGGCAGGTGGGAATTTAACATGGGTCCTTTTTTTTGTTTATTTACATGTTTATCTGTTTGATAAGAATCACAGTATTTTCATACAGGCTGATCACATGCAGCATACCATTGCATGAGTTTTTCAAGTTTTAAAGTGTGACTGAGAAATCTGAGACAAAAGACATAGGTTTGTGAAATGGGAGCACAGACCATCAAAACCCAAGACATTACTGACTTGGCCACGAAAGGCGGTTGTTATATGACCCTGAGACACAACATTAAAATTGCATGTTTTCAGTGAAAGGTACCATTTTTACTGACCATTTTCAAATGTAGGCAGTACAGTCTCACATTTTTCTAAGCTCCATCGGTTTTCATTGATTTCCACAGAATAAATCAAACAGTAGACTCTTGAAAGATGCTTGAGTGGTGGAGGTCAGAGTGAATGTCAGGTAATCTTTGTCACTGTAAATGACATTGTGGAGTTGTGCAGTTTCAGTGTAGAAAAGTCTGCACTGCATTACCTCAAAGACGTCACAGTAACAGAAATTACTTGAATTGCTTGAAACAAAAAAGTATTAAACTTCTGCCAACAGATTTGCAGGTCATACTGCCTAAATGAAATGCATTCGAATTGCAGAAACTCTATGTCTTAATGTCCATTTATAGTAAATAAGTTAAAACATGCAAAACCACAGGACTGGTCATTTAAACTTTAAGTTGATGGGTATCTTATAACAACCACCAACTGTTAGGAGGAGTACGGCAGGACAGAAATGTCAGGACTGCTGTAACTGCCAAGTATGGATGCTTAACGATGTCTCTTCTGCCAACAGCCAGCTTTACTACAAGGCGCACCATGGTCAAAGTACATACTTGCATGTTCGCACCTGTACGTGCACCTGTACAGATAGGAATGCCTATTACGCACAGCCTGCTGTGATGTTACATGTCCATTATGCTGTGGATCTAAGGGACAGTCCAGAGGAGAGGAACAAGTTGTTTCTTACGTTTCAGATTAGTTATGCATTGATCAGTTGGTTTTCCAGCTGAAAGCCATGGAATAAAAACATCTTGAATGTCATCATTTCCTGGTTTAAACAACAGTTTGTTATTGTGTCAGGATTGTCTTAGCAAAGCACTTTTAGTTTGGCATCAGATACACTGAAAGAAATGTTCAGAAATCTATCATTGTACTGCATTTGGCTGTTTGCCACCTTCTTTTTATGAAAAGATGATCCTATTTAAACCATGGTCAATGTTTGCTTTTTCCACAGTGTCATGTGGGATTATTTTTGCTTCCTTGAAGTGGGCTCAACTGCAGAATGTATTGCTTATTTTATTATTAACATGAGCAGAAAAACCTATTGCGGGAACTGATAGGCAGCAACATCCAGATGAGTAACGAACAATTGTTGCATGTTAAAGATCAGGTGCATCAGACGAGGTTAAGTGGTTCTCTTCAAGTTGTAGGAAAACAATAACAGGACCACAAGATGCAACTATACTACTCATAAAGAATCCAAAGCCTCACTGGTGAATAATCACCCCTAGACATCAGTACCTCAATGAAGTGTGAAGACCCATATCATAGACCAGAACATGTGAAGGAGGCTTGGGGTCAGTTTGCTTTTAAGAAGTGGATTTTACTTTCAAATATTTGAATATGCTTTGCATGAAGAGGTCGTCATATCCAAACCTATTAACAACTGAGAATGAATGAATGAATGCCATATCATCAAGACAAATCTCTTTATGGTTCGGACTTTTTGCAAGTGAGAAAAAAATAGGTGCCTTGCTTTTGTGGTACATATTCATCTCCATATCAACAATCCTGAAAGGTGCATTACAGCAGGTTCCTCTGAACAGAGATGGCTGTACTGTCTTCATGTTCTCTCCCTGTAAATGTTCTGAATTGAGGAATTTTACAGTTTTTTATTCTGAGATCATTTTGCTACTGGGCATAAAACGATCTTTTGACATCTTAACATTCTGACTAATTTCTTTTAATTTATTTAAATTATGTGCACATATTTACATGCTAGTACTAATCTCAAATTTATGAAGCCTGTAATGTAATGAAAATGCAAGTGAACTTTTATTCTCCTTCACCAATAAAAAAACTTCTATGAAGAGTTTCTTTTGTTGCTTTCTCATGGTCATTCAGTACTGAGGTATAGCAGACTCAGCAATGATACGTACCAGGAACAAACACAAACTTTATATCTCTTTACTTTTATGAACATATGATCACAATTAACAGTGATTAAGGTGCATGAACTAAACAGTAACTAACATTTAACAGAGCTACTGCTAGGGAGCTTAATTCAAGCAAAGTGCTATGCATGAAGACACCGTTTCTGAAACTAGTTTCTCTAAGGTGCAAAGAGGAACATGCAAGCAGCCAATCTACCTATGGCTAGTAAGCACACCTCTCTTAAAGCTAGAGCACAGAGCGTTACTTTGACAAACACCTCGCAAAAGAACATCTCTGCCTCATTACTGGTGCTAAGCAGCTAAATTTATTAGCTAATTCGATGAACAGCTTAATCCTAACTACAACAACACACAACCAGAGAGCTGTAATGCAAATACGTTGTTGTTCTGCCACAAATTGAGTGACAATAAAAGCTACATATAACAGTGTGTTAACATGTTATTCACTAACAGTGTTGTACTTCATTTTTTTTCCTTCGTCTGCTTTTGCGATGCATTGTGATAATAGACCAGAACCTGACTATGGTGTGCAGAAGGGGTGGGGTGCTAGTGTGTCTTCGGCCATGGTAAACGTTTGGGGCAACAGCCCAGCACAACATTCATTTGGCCTTCTGTGCCTTCTGTGCAGACTTGGTGATCTTACCACTGGTGGGGGCTTTCTTTTCCACGCCCTTAATTACTCCCACCGCCACCGTCTGACGCATGTCACGGACGGCAAACCTCCCTGGATCGTGAAAAAACATTTGTTATCACAAATATTGATTAAAATACTAGTTTGAATATCAAGGTTAAGATGAAGTTTAAAGTTTGATTTAAATTCTGAATCAGCTGGAGTAAAACAATAAGAAATGATACTGCAGCTTGACCCACAAACAGAAATACTGCTGGACACAGGAAACTTACCCAGTGGTGGGTACTCAGAGAAGCTCTCCACACACATAGGCTTGCCAGGGACCATGTCCACAATGGCAGCATCTCCAGACTTTAGGAACTTGGGGTTGTCCTCAAGCTTCTTACCAGAGCGGCGGTCGATCTTTTCCTTGAGCTCAGCGAACTTGCATGCAATGTGTGCAGTGTGGCAGTCCAGCACTGGGGCATAGCCAGCACTGATCTGACCAGGATGGTTCAGGATAATCACCTGGTGAACAACAGAGACACATAAGACATGCAGAAGCACAGGCTCATGACCATGTGAATTTTTTGCAATGATGTGAAATGTAAGAATCCCTTTCAAAGCTAACTCCTGTAAGCAGACCTGAGAGGTGAAGCTGGCTGCCTCCTGTGGTGGGTCCTTCCTGCTGTCTCCAGCCACGTTGCCACGGCGAATGTCCTTTACAGACACGTTCTTAACATTGAAGCCCACATTGTCACCAGGTAGCGCCTCAGTCAGGGCCTCGTGGTGCATCTCCACTGACTTGACCTCAGTGGTTACGTTGACAGGAGCAAAGGTCACCACCATGCCAGGTTTTAGGATTCCTGTCTCTACTCGGCCCACTGGCACGGTACCAATACCTGGCAGAATGGGAATGTGTCAGCATTACAAAAACTATACTGATAACTGTCTATAAAACAACTGCACAAATAGACTTGTTCTTTCAGAAACATGCATGAACAATTGTACTAGACAAAAAAGGGACAGATATTCACTTTAGGACATAAGAATCCAGTGGGAGTTCTTTAAAGATGTCATTCAGCTCTGCTCTTCTTTGTCACCAGATGCTCTCATTCCCAAAATTCTAAGCAATATTTGGTATCACTAACACTTCAGAAGAACTTGACAAATGGAACATTAACATTTCTCAACTTAGTTCTACCAGTCACAAATCACATAACTATCACCTTTACAGACACCCCACAGCAACACTACCCTCACCTCCAATCTTGTAGACGTCCTGCAGAGGCAGGCGGAGGGGTTTGTCAGTGGGGCGTGTGGGAGGCTGGATGGCATCCAGAGCCTCAAGTAGTGTGGTGCCTGAAACATTTCCATCTTTACGGTTGATCTTCCAGCCCTTGAACCAGTTCATCTGTGGGGGGAGAAACGCTCAAAACTTTACCTCTGCAGATTAAGTTTATGTACATCTATTAGTTAGATTTATTTTAAACACAGTGGTTAGCGCCGTTGCCTCACAGCGCGAAGGTTCCCGGTTCGGGCCCCACCTGGGACCTTTCTGTGTGGAGTTTGCATGTTCTCCCCATGCTTGCGTGGGTTCTCTCCGGGTACTCCGGCTTCCTCCCACAGTCCAAAGACATGCAGCTTAGGTTGATTGGTGTCTCTAAATTGCCCATAGGAGTGCATGTG